GCTTCTGATGGACCCAGTACTGACTGAACTTGAGGACTCTTGTTTGCCAATGGCTGGCCTGTCATCGTCTGGGATATCAGCTGTACTCTCCTTGGTTTTGAATGGCTGGGTTGTCCTTCTGGCTGTGATGGTTTGGTACTCTGATTTGTTGAGGCAGTGGTGACTTGACTCACCATGTTGGTTGCTGTGTTGGCAAGATTTGAGTCACTTTGCTGGGCTGTCTTTGTGCTGGTGTCATTTTTAGGCTCAGGCGTAATCAACTGAACTCTCCTTGGTGTTATCTTATTAATAGACTTTGGTGGTGTGTTGTTTTGTGTCAATTGAGAAACTGGAACAGCAAACTTCTGAATTGAAGGCGTATCTCTTTTCTTTACAGTTATCTCGTTATCTGGTGTAGTTGGATTTTCCACAACCTCCATTTTCTGGACAGGAGTCAGGACAACTCGTTTTGTAGTTTTGCCTTAAAAATTTATTAAATTTAATATAAGGTGACGCATTTCCTTTTTGTGTGATATCAAAATTACCATTTATAATTATCGCAAGGATCACTGATATAGAATTATGATATAGATCAGTGATATAGAATGGGTTTGCTAGGATCACTGGGTTCACTGCCTGGTGTCCATATCACAATTCTAGAATTGTCAAGCCATGCAGGCTATACGAGCGATTTTTCACTTTCGCAGGGGACATGAATTTCTCAAAATCACCAGCGCATGATGTGGCTACACAAGCAACAATGCTGTATTGATAAAAATCCTCAAAAATCCTTATTTTAATCTCCATAAATAGGTATATGTACAAAAAGAGTTCAAATTTGATATTCAGCTTTCACCTGAGCAAGCAAAAAATTGCTTCTATAGCCATGGCTTCAGTGATCCAGTGATCAAGATTACTAGGATTCTATTACTAGGAAACATTTAGCAATTCAAGATCACTGTACCTAGGATTACTAATCCCTGAGTTGCTAGAGTGCTTCCGTAATAAAATCTCTCATATACTACTAGTTATCCAGTGATTGACGTTGTTGTCATGAAAAGATACCTAACCTGGTGATACTAGCCATTGTAATATCATGGAAACAAGGTTTAAGCATAAAATAATACAAAAATTCGCATTTTTATCCTAGTTAAAAAGCAAGGTATTTGCTAGTACCTGAATATTGCTAGTTATCTAGTGATTAACATTCTTGTCATGAAAAGATACCTGGCAATACATGTACTAGCCATTGTAATAACATGGAAACCAGGTTTAAGCATAAAAAGATATACAAAATGCACATTTTTATACATAGTTAAAAAGCAAGGTAATGCTCGTACCTGAATTATCTGGTGTTTCCATATTAGGTATACTGTTAGCTGATTGGTTAGCAGGTGTATCAAGCACTTCTTTGGCWGTCATTTTGTAAGGTGTTCCAATTTCACCATCTTCAAAGTTTACCCATGAACAATAACCATCAGACGAACACACGACAAGCACGGAACCATCATTGCTCCTAGAACAAAAGTGAGTTTATTTTCTGATACTGAATTCATTGGTTTTACCCGAGGAACACAGGCTGACCATCAATAAATCCCATGAAAGTAATAAGATGTACTATTTGGAGCGTGAGAATCAAGGAAAAATTAATCATGAAGTAATAATTATTGGTAAAGAATAAAGAAAGCAATACATCCAGATTGATAGCAACTTTTCATCACCATCATTATCTTATCTTCATCATTATCGTCATCATCATCATTATCATCAGAACATTATGTGTCAGATAAACAATAAAGCCTCAACACTTTTTTCTTCTATTTCTACCATTCTCCTCCAGGTAGTCTGTGGTCTTACTCCAGACATCAAGCTCAACTTTTAGTTTCACTGATCTTCCATTAAATGAAAACATCTCTACTTATGACTGGAGGATGGCACTCATGCTTCCTATGATAGTCATTAGAGCTAGGATCTTACCATGTGACGTCAGTTATTCCAGAGTAGTGAATATTGGATATATATCCAAAAGGAACTGTGTGCTGTGTGTCGTACAGGTAGATGGCATTGAGTGAGGCTACAGCAAAAACCATACGATATGGAAGCCTGAAAAACATTAAGACAATAAGAATAATAATAAAATAATCCCCACTTGGTCCATAAAGAAGTTTAAGACTCCATTTTAAAGTTGTCTATTGAAGGTAACAGTGCCTTGGAATCAACAGAAGACAGTGGCCAAGCTTGCAATGATAGATACCTGTGAATATATATTTTTAGAGGTGTAAAATAGGCACCTGATACCTAACACTGCATGCTCATCCATCACTTCACTTATAGGCAATGGATTAGAGACAAAATACCACTGGGAATTTTATAGTATTGATRTTGTAGTATTGGTGGGCCAAATTAATCCCAATTATTATGATGCAAATCATAGAAACACTGGAAACCTTACTGGAAAAGAGGTGGACTATCCTCTTCATTTTCCTTGTCAATTTCTGAAAATATAAAAGTGTCAAATTTGAGTCAAACTATAGGAACAAAAGACATTTAATGTTAAAWTGTTATCGTACATTAGGATTCATGTTAAAATACTAAGGTATGCTTCTTCTACATTGAATTATTAGTTACCGAGCTTTTGGACAACTTGCCCATCATCAGGGCAAATTGAAATTACAATGCGTGCATGAGGATACAAATGTAAACACACACTCTCTCTTGATTCTTTATTTGGATTTGAAATGTTGACATACCTTTGTCTTTTGTTCTCAAGTHAAATAGCACAGGACAACATCTGACAGCAACAGTTGGTTTCTTTGGACTTGGTAGGTAAAGAACAGGTCTATGGAAATAATAAAGGCAATTGAAGGACATGCATACACCCAACTTTCAAAAATGCCGRCAGTYCARGACTGTCAATATAGGRGTACTAGTGACGAATCATGGAAACAAGATCTCAAAGGCCTTCCATCTAGAAATCACTATGAAGATTGCATGTAGGTAGTGTCCAAAAGTTTGAACGATGTATTGGTATGTTATTTGTAACACAGCACTCTTGCAACACATCATTGAAATTTACTATACGGAGGCTGGCCTTTGAGAGCTCGTTTAAGTGCTTCATCCCGAGTGTCCTGTGGTCAGCGACCATGACATAACGGTCAGTGKTCAATATCTGATTAAACATGAGCTTTGCTAGACCAATCAGCTGGTCTGCTTGTTTATCTGCCATATTATTTTTTCCTGATCTGTAAAAACATGAATGTTACTTACTTGTTTGGCGATCCTCTAGTAAATACATACGTAGTGTTTAAAACTTGGTTTGACATCTCAATTCTACCAGCTGAAAGAYAGGAATGTTTTAATATCTATTTATTTCTTTACTGATTTTGAAAATGACTGTGTTGTTAAATTATATTTATATGATTTTGGATCATAAAATCTTCTGCAGCAGTTGAGAACAGTTCCTTACATCAATTTTCAAGTATGCCTTACCCCTCCCCCTAGAAATTCATATGCTTTACCACCTCTCCCTAAGAGTATGCCTTATCCCCTCTCCCTAGAAGTATGCCTCATCCCCTCTCCCTAGAATTATGCATTACCCTCTCCCCAAGAAGTATGCTTAACCCTTCCCCCTAGAATTATGCCTTACCACCTCTCCTTTGAAATAGGTCTTGCCCCCTCTCCCTAGAACTATACCTTACCCCCTCCTCCCCCTTGAAGTATGCCCTCCTCCATCCCCGAGAAGTATGCCTTACCAGGGACGATCAGTAAAGAGCCATCAGGAGTAAAAGATGGACGTCGGAAGAACGACAGCAATGACTCATCATGAAACATCTTCAATTGTTTTAACTGTAAAAGAAAGTTTAAGCATTTAATTTTTATATGAGCATAATTATCCTTGGTCTATCTAGATAGTTTTTATTTACAGGGTCCATCCTAGTTGCTTTTGTCATGATAATTCTATTTTCAAGGACTCTTAAAATCTCGTTCAACATTTCTGGATTTTTTTGGTCAATGGAAAACWACTTTTCAATTCCAAGTCTTTCAAAGATTACAAGGWGTATCACAAGCCSTGAACTTGATGCACTTACCTCAACTCCTTCAGCTAACTTCATGTTAGATGACCCAGACAATTTATTGATATTGTAACAGCAGCGATATGACAGTGGACTGTATAGCCTGCAGCTCCTATAACATTGCAAAATATTATTGAGGAATCACGGAGCTAAAACTTTTTAGTTTACAATTCCAAAAAATTGTAAACTTTATAAAAGTTATTCTTACCTGTCACTAGAATTTGTGACTACATATTGGCCAAGAGGATCCCAGCACACTCCCTGGATGTAGTGTTTGTGATCTTTGAGAATCGCCAGTTTTGTTCCTATCAAAAATAATGTAGATTGTACCATAATTGTCTGGTTTACTGATTGATTAAGATGACATAGTGTCTGGTTTACTGTTTTATACAGCAATAATGTCTGRTTAACTGATTGAATAAGACAGCAATAGAGTGGTTTTCCGTCAACCATGAAAGCACAATAAGTCTAATAGTTAGTAGTAGTTTGTAATAGACCAATACTAATAGTCTAGTCTAGAGTAGACCGCGTGTATCCGATTGATAGGTATCAACATATTCATCACAAAAACAAGTTTTTTTTTATTTTAATGGTCGTTTTTGTTATGGTAACTAATTAAACTAAACGTTTAATTTATTCAAACTGTTGTTTGTTAGCTATTCGTTTATATTTTATTTGTATAAAAGTTATATTGACTAGTCTATTACTCATTGCTAATAACTAGTTGGTCTATTTCTTTTCATGGTTGACGGAAAACCACTCTAATGTCTGGTTAACTAACTGACTAAGATGGCAATAATATCTGGTTAACTGATTGAATAAGATGGCACTATTATCTGGTTAACTGACTGACCAAGATAGCAATAATGTCTGATTAACTGACTGACTAAGATAGCAATATATGAGATACTATAAAATCAATGTGSTAAAACATCCTTTGGAATTCCTGGCTTGTGATATAAATTTATTCATAAAGGTATTGTTGTACCACATGATACAATCAATCCTGAATGAACATTGTCCACTTACGTATACAGACATGGATGACTGTATTTTATACATTGTTGAAACCATTGAAAAAAAGAATTACAACTAACAACAACAAATTATGGAATGTTGAAAAAAGGACAGAAAGAGGATCTCCAGGAAGAATAACCCTCCATCAAAGAAGACACTTGCACATTATTTTGTTTTGCTCTAAGTTCATTGATATGATCCTATGTATAAGTTACCTTTWGTGACATCCCAGATAATAGCACTATTGTCAACAGATCCTGAGATAAGTTGAGAGCCATCAGGTGACCAGGCTATATCGTAGACATCTTCAATATGCCCTCTGTGGAAGTGAAGTTAAAATGAAAGGTATGATGGAAGAAATGAATGAACGAAAGAAAGGTTATAATACCTAAGTACTTTACTAGCTGTCCAYGAYTCTCTGTTCTCAATATCGTCATCGCTGTCCTTTAATGCTGGAACACTTTGTTCTTGATTGACACTTAATTTCCATAATATGACACAACAGTCTACAGCACAAAACAAAGCAATGATTGATAGGTGTCAATCATCTTAATAAACTGACGCATGAATGACTTACCATCACCTCCTGATGCTAAAATCTCCTCTAAAATACAAAAAATAACTCAGTTTAGTCCACAAATCGATTGATGGTGGTGAGTTAAATCCATCGAATTTATATTATTGGAAAGGCCTTATCTTCCGTCTCATCTCAATCAAAAACATTAACTTTTAATAGACAAATCATAAATACACAAATCGATTCTGGTTATTAACATAACCTAACATATATAAATCTAAGGGATRTATAGTTAAACTATTTCCTTGCAATCCCTTTTTCATAATAAGAAGTAATAAGCTTAGTTCACAAACCATTCGGAGAGAAACGGACCACGTTGACAGCCTTGTTGTGTCTCGAAAGATTCGCGATGAACTCAACTTTACTACCACTTTTCTTATCATAACATATCGTCCAGATCTACAATATAAAGAATTGAGATTACAAACCACAAGGATCTGTACAAGAACGCGAACACTAGGTGTAGTCGACAGATTGATAAAACCTACCTTGACATCGTTGTCCGCGCCAGCCGTAGCAAACTTCAATGTCGACCCGATCTTACAAAAATCAACGCTTAAAACCGGCTCTTTTCCATGCCAGGATATTTCTGGTGTGTTTAACTTCATTTTGGCGATATTTTTGACAATTCTTAGGCTTTGCGATCGCTAAAACTTAAGCAAGAAGAAGAGTTGTATTTTGATTTACCGTCTCCTCGCCGCCAAAATTTTAGTTTCCCGCCAAAATATGTACACCTTCCAAATATGGTTAAAGACCTTGTGACCAGAGACGGTAATGTACATTAAAAAACATTACAGTTGTTTCAAAGGTAATCTTCTTTAAAAGAATTATTTAAAAATAACTAGACATTTTAGATATTTTATTTCTGACTAATGTTTATGGCGGAAAACTCGAGTTTTATATGTAAAATGTTATGCGTGACAAACCGTGACAACATGTCATCACGCGTGACAAATAGTTTATATCCCACAATTCCTTTCTCATATACTCGGAAACTCCTACCAACAGCAAATCGTGTCAGCTTTGAATTACAATCTTGGAATTATGTCTCCTATCGTACTTTAAACACCTTGTAATCCCTCTTTTACGTTGCAGTCACCAATATGGGTATGTATTCTACAAAATAGACTGGATAAATAATTCATTTGCGTCCAAAAATTATGTGAAACCCCAGTTATAATGTGYAAGTTTTGTTGCTTCCGTTGCAGGTAGGCGAGCGCGAGTCACCTTCGACTACGAGCCGGAACAAACGGACGAACTTCGTTTAACTGTTGGAGAAATTATCGAGAACGTTGAAGATGAAGACGAGGGTTGGTGCAAAGGAACTTTAAATGGAAAAGTAGGGCTTTTCCCCAACAATTTTGTAGAATTCATAGCAGAAACAGCTGATGTTGCTGCAGCGAAAGCGGACCCCAAGCTTTCAAAAGGTTAGCACTTCATACAGGAAATTTGCGTTAAAATAACACTGCATAGTTTAGCTTGTTTAAGGCTTCATCTGTATCTATTGAAAAGTGTTATATATATTTTCTGTTTTGTTATATTTAATGTACATCTTATGTGGAATTCATAAGTTAAACGTTTTGCGACCTTGTTTGTCAAGTCATCTTTGTCCAAAGATGTATTATTTTATCATTTTGTGTTTGAAATGAAATGTTGTCTTTTCTGAACAATGGCTTTACGAAGCAATTCGAAGTACTGTGGTTTGAGAATGATCTTTTTGTTTTAAAGTGTTTCTGGGTTCTTGTATGTCACATCTACTCCAAGTTTACGTATTTTTTTGATCTCAACTTGTGTCTATTGTTTTTTGCCCTCTAAATATTCATGGCCAATAAACACTGTTTAACACTTTTCCTGCGATTCCAGTTAGATATTTTTGACATTTTGAGGCTTTTATTTTTGATGGAAACTTTAAAAGGCTTTATGCTCCATTGAATATTTCGGCCCTAAAGAATGCAAAGCAAATTATAAATTCATAACGGAAATTGTAAGAAATTTTAAACACTACATTTTGATGTGCTTCGCCGYTTTTCCTTTATTCTCGGAGGGAAATTTTTGTCACGGAAGTTTTACAGTTAAGACTCTGCAAAAATGTATTGTATAAACCTATATACAAGTTCAAACTATCCAAAAAAGAGTTTAATGAAAAAAATTCACTAATTAAATACAAATTTTCAATTGTCTATTTTTGTTCATTTTGTACAGTCATACAAACCCAGCTTTCTCTATACAAATACTGCTAATTGATTCTCCATGTTTTGACTCTCTTGTAAGAGGGACCCATATGTTACAAAGAACTTTCCAAAACCCCTTATTTTATCACTGTTACATTAGCAGATGTCATCAGAAATTCAGAATGTAATCTTCTAACACTCCTTCCTTGCTGCCAGAAATTCTCTAGCTCATTCCTCACCTCTAGAAATATTTTTTTTTATTTCCTGTAAGAAGGAACAAATACCAGAGTATAACCTCTGGAAGTAGTTRTGGTGACCTTTTCCCTAGCATGCACAGGCAGCACAGAATTTAAAGGTTTAAAATTGAAATTTGTTCCATATTCGACCTCAATGTCAAGTTGTGATACTTCATGGTACTCACTGATGTGATTGGATTTTATTCTAGCAAACTATAGGACAAATTAAAAAAATAAATAAATATAAACCTAGCAAAACATTTTGGTGACATGTTTTTGACTATTTTTTCTTCACTAAATACAACCAACTAACATGGATATACCATAGTTGAGTAGCCAATCAGGATGCTTGATTTAGTTTAACTCAAAATATCTAATGACAAGGAAATACATCAGAAACTGAAAATCTTTAAAGGAAACATATGTCATGACCTTTCAACTGAAAATAGTGATCATGCTCAAATCTCAAAGTGAGTGATCAATTTTAGTTATCATGTAGGGCTGTTATGTTAAACAGCCTGGCATATGTTGCTCTATTGTTTCCGTTACCAAACTTCTTCACACCCAGTGGTGCATAAAGTCTTCATCTCGCTTCTCCACCTCTCTTGGGTCACTGCAACCGCTATTGCTTCTTCCYATGTTTTCCAACCCAATTCTTTTCTTTCCTTTTCTTTTCTGTTGCTCTACTGTTCTGTTATTATGAGTCAACATTCCCTTATTAATGAGTTGAGGTTCTTATTAAGGGAGTGTCCATTATTTTTGTTGGTGTTTTTTTTTTTTTTGGGGGGGGGGGGGGGATTGGGTGTGATCAAGTTTTGCTTTTTCAAAGGGGAATCTTGCAGACCATAAAGAGTGGTGTCAGAAAATGTGGAAAAAGCCCCCCTCCCTCCTCTTCCCTCCCCCAGCCCTTACAAAACATAAATAATGTACACTCCCTAATATCATTCATTCCAATTGGATGGCTATTCTTCACTTCAATATAAAAATAACTAATATTTCAATAATTGTAGATCCCTTGGCTGGCAAGAAGGCAAAAGTAAGCTTTGATTATGATGCTGAAAATAGTGATGAGCTCACTATCAAAGTGGGAGAATTGGTTGAAATCATAAGGGAAGTGGAGGACGGTTGGTGGGAAGGAACCATCCATGGCCGTACTGGAGTATTTCCATCAAACTTTGTTGAACTTGTTAGTGAATCAGATGGCCCACCTCCACTGCCAGAGAAAGAATCTATACCAACTGAAGCAGGTATGACAATACTTTAATTCTAAACAAATAGGATGCTTTGCTGTGATGTCTTTACAAAATAGAAAATACTTCATTTCCAAATTGGATGAACTCTGTTTTACAATTGATACCAGGTTCTCTTGTGTGACCAAGTGAAGTATTTGTTAATTGTTTCTGGACATTTTGGATGTAGAAAAAATGTAAAAATAACTAGCAACAACAACAACAACAACAAATACAAATCAACTTCACAGATCTAGCTCATGTACTTGACAGTAAACTGGCCAAAGCAGAACTGACTTTACTAAGCAAAAACCACTGACATATTGCGTGATTGCTCATGTCACACTGCATGTCACGCAAGGCATGTAACAAACATTATTTTCGACCTTACTAGTATCACACTTGCATAAAGACCTCACCAAACTCAGAAGAAAGTGCAAAAAAAGTTGTTATATATCAATAGCCCTCAAAATTCACATTTTTCCCAACTTAAGAATATCCCTGTATTGCCAGATGGCCTATGGTATAGTTAGCCTCAACTCAGGGGAAATGCAAACTGTTAGGGCTATAATAATGACAACATTTTCTTGTGCTTCTTTTTTTCAGGTAATATCTTTGATTAAAAGAATCTGTTGTCCAGTAAATCAGCAGTTTTTAATTTGAATTTGAAGATGGAGTAATGCAATGTAATGTAATTGCAATCATACTCTAAAACTATGCACTTATTTCCTTAGCAGCTAATGAAACACCCTCGAAAGCTGCCGTAGTTATTGATGAGGAGGATGCATCAAATAAACGCTCTTCAATCTATGGACAGTCTAAGAAGATGGGCGGAGGCATGGGCTTTGGCAATTTGATTAGTGCTGATATATTGTCTGGTACAAGATTAAAGAAAGTAGATCARAAGAAAAAACCTGACCCCCCTGAACAGAAGGCCCCTCCTGTTGAACCTTCCCCAATTAAAAAAGAAGTAGGTTTTGAYGATTATATTGGATTCTAAAACTAGAACACTCTCAATTTTTAAGCAGTACTTCTTATGTCAACTCAGTCTTATTGCAGTTCCCTGCAACATCTTAAAAGGTAGCTGTGCCTTTGCATCGAAGCGAAACGAACTTTGAGCAAGGGCGCTAGAACTAAAATTATAAGATATACATAAGATAGTCGATAATAAATTGTAAAGTTTTACTTATCTGAAAAATACACTGAAATGTCCTCTTAGACACTAAAAAGCACTTGATTTTACGAAATTCATCCAAATGATCGTTACTCAAGCGGTTGTTGCTGAATTTATTACCGCTGTCCTTGTTGTACCAGCCACTGCTGTCTCGCCAGGAACGTTATTCATTAACCGGATTAAAATCACGTTGCCCTGGCCGAACACCAATTACGATCTATTATCGACTATCTTATGTTGGATAAATTAAGCAATTTTTGGATCTTATAATTAATAGATTTCATTAATAATAATTTCAGTTCTAGCGCCCTTGCTTTGAGCATTAAGTGATGGATACCTGTGAATAATTGCCAATGGATGTGAACAAAGATTTCTATTATTACTTGCTCAACGGTTGTCTGACATCAATACAAAGGATTTAAAGTCATCTTGCCCCTTTGGCAATGGGATGAGAAGACCAGTAATGATACAGCGACACTGCTACCTTACAAGAGCATTCTGGGAACCGTGAGGGATACTATTTTGGCAATTGASGAGTTTCTTAACAATTATTATTTTCCAATATTAACTATGGCAATACTGAGGATTTTCATTTACTGTTTTAGAGTTCTTTAAAAAGAAGAGCACCTTCAATACCTCCATCACCAGCTGCACCAGGAGGTAACAACCATATTTATGATATACAGCTAAATGGCGGTATTTCATGATCGTCAATATTTTTGAACTCCTGTTCATTTTTCCTTTCWTCTAATTGTTCTAACAGCACCTGCCAAAAAAGCTGTAGGAAAAGCTAAAGTTCTGTTTGAATATACCCCTGAAAATGATGATGAACTAGCCCTCCATGTTGGAGACATTGTAACAGTGTTGAACAAGGAGGTTTATGAAACTGATGGCTGGTGGGAAGGTGAACTCARTGGTAAAGTGGGTCTCTTTCCTGATAACTTTGTGGAACTATTACCRGATGAGGTGCAAGCTAAGGTAKGATATGCATAGAGCCTGACCTTCTRGTTTTTGGGTTTCCTTTGTTTTGTAGACTGAGGAAGAATGGGTTAAAMGGGAGGASTTTTCATTTTCTRTACATCCATCYTTTTTCATTTGACATTCATTCATTTGTTGCTGCACTTATATTTTATTAACAGTCATTTTGCCCATCCAATTATTTATCCCATCCATTTATTCAATAATCCATTGTTTCATTAATTT